GTAATATGGGTCAAAATTTTGATTCTTGGCTGTTAGCCAATCAAAATTGAGAATCTGCTAGTCCAAGTTTGTTGCAGCAGCTATGGTTAATTGCTTTACCTATTAACTCTAGATGCTATACAAAAAATGTGTGGCAGATCCTCAATTTTGATTGGCTAACGGCCGAGGATCTTCAAAATTTTGACTCGCATTACATAATTGTTTACTAATTTCCGGCCAGAATTAACTTTTTGATTTTTTCATTATAAAAATAGAAATTTTTAAAAAAATAAGCCCACATTATAGCAAATTTGGCCCAGGGACAATTTTCACTTAATAGGCGGCGGCTGCGATTTCATTAACAAAATTATGAGTAAATCCGGTCTAATTTTTTGATCATTGCTCTTAGCCAATCAAAATCGAGGATCTGTTGCGCATTTTTTGTGCCTAGGTGCCGTACAAAAAATGCGCGGCAGATCCTCGATTTTGATTGGCTAATGGTAGATTGTTACTAATTTCTGGTCAGAATTAACTTTTTAATTTTTTTAGAAAATTTTAAAAAATAAGTCCGGAACATTAGTAAAATTATGAGTAATTCCGGCCCAATTTTTTGATCGTCGCTTTTAGCGCAACTACCCCAAAAATTTTACAGTTACACAAATATTGGCCAATAATAGTGTAGATCGCAACATAAATTAATATTTTTTTACAACTTCAAACAAAGATATCTCGACAACCGTAAAACAAAATTTGATGAATTTTTTTTTTATTTTGATTCAAATCTATGTGAAATCAATATAAAAAAAAATTCGTCGAATTTGGTTTGGTAGTTGTCGAGATAACTTCGTTTAAAGTTTAAGAAAATTCTAGTACTACTAGATGGTTGATTTATTGATGAACTTTAAACGAAGATATTTCAACAACCACCAAACCAAATTCTATGATTTTTTTTTTTTTTTTTGATTATTCAAATATGTAGAAATAAAATACAAAAAAATTTGTAGAATTTGGTTTGGTGGTTGCCGAGATGTCTTTGTTTAAATTTTAAAAAAATTATACTACGGCTTAAAATTTAATAGACGGTTTAATTTATTGACTAACTTTAAACGAAGATATCTCAACAACCACCAAACAAAATTCGATAAATTTTTTTATTTTGATTCTAGAAATATGTAGGATAAATATAAAAAAAATTTCATTGAATTTGGTTTAATGGTTGCCGAGATACCTTCGTTTAAATTTTAAAAAATTCTACTACGGCTTAAAATTTAATAGACGATTTAATTTATTGACTAAATTTAAACAAAGATATCTAAACAAAGATATCTCAACAACCACCAAACAAAATTTTTTATTTTGATTCTACAAATATGTAGGATAAAACAAAAAAAATTTCATTGAATTTGGTTTGGTGATTGCCGAGAAGAACAGCCTAGTAATATCATATAAAACAGACAAAATAAATTCCCAACTGGGCAACAATAGCCCCAAAGCTGAAATAATCTCTATGGAGGTTTATCTTCGTTTAAATTTAAAAAAATTCTACTGCGGTTTAAAATTAATAGACGGTTTAATTTATTGACTAACTTTAAACGAAGATATCTCGGCAACCACCAAACCAAATTCGATGAATTTTTTTTATTTTGATTCTACAAATATGTAGGATAAAAATAAAAAACTTAATTGAATTTGGTTTGGTGAATGGTGAAATATCTTTGATTAAAGTTTGTCAATAAATTAAACTGTCTATTAAATTCAATCTGTAGTAGAATTTTTTAAGTTTAAATGAAGTTATCTCGACAATGACCAAACCAAATTCAATGAAATTTTTTTGTTTTTGTCCTAAATCAAAATAAAAAAATTTTATCGATTTGGTTTGGTGGTTGTCGAGATATCTTCATTTAAAGTTAGTCGATAATTAAACAGTCTATTAAATCGGCAACCACCAAACCAAATTCTATAATTTTTTTTTTTTTGTTTATACATACTTGTAGAATCAAAATAAAACAAAATTCATTGAATTTGGTTTGGTGATTGTTGAGATATCTTCGTTTAAAGTTAGTCAATAAATTAAACCGTCTATTAAATTTTAAGCCTTAGTATAATTTTTTTAAAATTTAAACAAAGACTTCTCGGCAACCACCAAACCAAATTCTACAAATTTTTTTGTAGGACGATTTTAACGCTCACCGGAGGTGAAATTCACTGGGGTGCTATATCTCAAAAGCGTACTAAGTAAACGGGATTGGTAAAAATGTCCAGAACCCCTGAAAACCTCACGAAAATCGAGATCGGGACCTTATATTAGCTCTATATTATTTTATAAAAAAAAAAAAAAATCTTAATACCCTAACCCTAAAAATTTCTTATGCCGGTGAATTTCACCACCGGTTAATTTTAAATTAATTCTTTTTTGTATTTTATTTCTAAATATTTGAATAATCAAAAAAAAAAAAATTTCATTGAATTTGGTTTGGTGGTTGTTGAAATATCTTCGTTTGTTCATCAATAAATCAACATCTATTAAAAATTAAAGTCGTACTAGAATTTTCTTAAATTTTAAACGAAGTTATCTCGACAACTACCAAACCAAATTCGATTGATTTTTTTTTATTTTGGTTTCACATACTTTTGAATCAAAAAAAAAAAAAATTCATCAAACTTTGTTTTACGGTTGTCGAGATATCTTTGTTTGAAGTTGTAAAAAAATATTAATTTATGTTGTGATCCACTAATTTTATTGGTCAATTTTTGCGTAACCGTAAAATTTTTGGTGGGGTAGTTGAGTTCGATACCTCAAGAAATATCTGCAAATTTTAGCGTTTGAACACATTTATAACTTGAAATTGTTCTGAGATAATTCTATTCAAATTGTAAAATTTAGCTGTAACTTTTTAACGAAAATGCCTTAGAAATGATCTAATCATTCGCGATATTCAAGAGTAATTTCAAAACTTCACAGATTTCTAGAACTTGAAAATGTATTTAAGCGATTAAATTTCTCGAATAATTTCAACCATTTCTGTGATATATTTAAATTTCGAAAAATTAGAAAATTATTAAAAACTTTGAATTTGACACGCGTGAATCGTGTAGCCACGTGATGAAAGATCTTCATGCTAACCATGAAGAAACTCCCTCAGTAAGATAATACTCTTATGATTAAAAGAATTTAAAAAGCTGTCTATAGAAGACAGAAATTCTATCCTAAGTCTGAAAACCATATATTATTCTAAACGTTCATATAAAATTTTTTTTTTATATATTACATTTATACCCGAATATAACCTGTTTAAATTTTGAGCAAAGTTTTACTGACATGTTGCTTATAAAAATTGTCGATTACACCCAACTTGGAATTACTCAACGTCTGCAGTAACTGATCGCTCGAACATTTATAAAATTGCGACTGATCATTTTGGATATAAAATAGTAAATAGCCATCTAACAGGTTGCCATACTATTACTGATAATTAAGTTAATAAATGTCACAATATAGAATTAACTTATATATTTGTAATATTGCACACTTTTACTGGAAGCTCGAACACCTTGATGTGATATTTCTGATGTGTCTATCTATGATATATGTAAAAATTTGATTGTCTTATCACTGATATGGGGAATTTCTTGGCATACAGTGCACAAATATTAGTAGAGATGCACTGAATAAACTTAATCCAAAGATTAACCAATACTTGACATGAAGTCAGAAGAAGAAATTAATGATGTTATGAAACTTACGTGACCTGGCGAAACTGTCAGTGACGAAACTTACGAAATCTTGACAAAATCAAGGTTTCGTCACCCATCATTAATCTCCAGTTTATTAATGGATGATTTATAGTTAATCTGAAGACAGGATAAACATTATCAAAAGTCCATTGTGAAATTAGAGCGGGGTATTAGAAAGACTTGGTCTAATTTTAAAATTCTTTGAGAACTGACCTTTTGACCGTTTTACATATAAGAACCGACTGTTCAGAAAAGATAGAGTTGGCTGTATCGGTCCGATAGGCATATCAGATATCCAATAGAGGTATCGGATATATGATATGCCTGTATCCTTCCGATAGGTAAAAAATTCGTTAGCTATAAGACATATCGACGTAGAAATTTTAAAATTCGACCTACGATAGTAAGGGTAGTAAGTATTTAAGAAAATTAAATATAAATTCTGAATTTGATACTAATTTTATTTTTACCGAGTTTGTTCCACACGATATGAGATAAAGAACCTTTATATTTACATATGAGTAGATTATGCAAAAAGATTTTCCGGAAGGATAATTATATAAACTTTTCTCATAAGATTTACAGCTTGATTTGCATTGAATGATCGTCAAAGATCACAATAGAAGTTTTCAGCGAACGAATTTGACAATCATTTCTAAATTTTCATAATATAATAGTATTGTAGCGTCAAAACGAGGTTGGATTAAAATAAAATTGACCATATTTATAATTTAATTCTGTAATTTCAAACGTAGTAGAACCTCAAATTTCATCTTAATCCACTTTTATTATGATCTGCGACAATTCATATTGTGCCCACTAGAGAGCGCACTACTTCAATCACTTGACAGATCACTAACTTTACAATTGTCATTTTCGAAATCCAAATGGTTATACTATATGGTAATCGTTTTTTATCATACAGAATTTACTATATCGCAAATCCCACATTAAGATAGATATAGCTGTTGAAAAAAAAGCACACTCTAGAATTCAGAATTTTTATAATTACACGTATAAGTATTTGTGAGCCTAAAGTTTTTCTGGTCTGATATATACCGAAAGCATAATTATATTTTATTTAAAAGTTATTTAAAATAATGTTTATGTAGTAAATGCAATACCTTCATTACCCTACCTATATCTTCGTTATTTTGTTTCATATAGCAGAGGTTTTATTCCTTCTGTTATAGATTTTTTTTTATAAAAAGATAAAAGCTTGTTTTCAAGACCTTTTATAAAATTCATGATAATATTTTAATTACAAACTTTGTAATATCAAAATAATGGCTACACATTCAGTTGATATTTCTGAAAAAAAAGATGAGATCACAAGCATTTCAAGTGTTGAAGAAAAGAAATTATTAAAAAAACTTGATTTAAGAATCATTCCTTTACTTACACTTATTTTTACCCTTAATTTCTTGGATAGGTATAGATATATCTTACTCTAATTAAAGATTTTATAATAAAATTCTTGACTTACCTTTATTATTTTAGGGTTAATATTGGAAACGCGAGATTAGCTCATTTGGAACGTGATCTTAATTTAACTGGAGTTGAATTTAATTGGTGTTTAGGCATATTCTTTTTGTAAGCTTTTTATTTTTATTTTATTTTTTTTTAATTTCACAATTTGAATCTTGCTTTTTATACTTGCAGAGGCTATGTATTATTTGAAGTGCCATCCAATATTTTTTTAGTCAAGATCAGACCCTCAATTTGGAGTTAGTTTTTTTTTCTATAAATTTATATAGTTGAATTGTTAAGATGAAATTTATTCCATAATTAATTTCTCTTACAGTTTCATCACTCATGGTCTGCTGGGGTATCATAATGACAAGCATGGCATTTGTAAATATTAAAGATAAAATTTAATATTAATCTGTTTTATTTAATAAATTCGTGTTTTAATTTATAAATTATTTTTTTAACGTTAAGGTAAAAAATTTTTCTCAATTGATGAGTGCAAGATTTTTATTAGGTGTTTTTGAATCGGGTCTTTTTCCTGCTATCGTATTTTACATTACAAAATGGTATACGAGATCTGAACGAAGTTATCGAATTAGTTTGTTTTTTTCCGGTGCTACAATTTCTGGTGCATTTAGTGGTCTTTTAGCATTTGCTATTATAAATTTAGATGGTAAATTTGGTTTGAGTGGTTGGCGATGGGTACGTACTTATGTATTATATGTTCATTATTTCAATATTTGTCTCATAACATTTTTATGTTATGCCATTTTTTTTTCGCTCAGATATTTCTTATTGAGGGGTCAGCAACAGTCATTGTTTCATTTTTCTCTTACTTTTTAATCACGGATTATGTGGAAACTGCTACTTGGCTTACAGAAGATGAACGAAAATTAGCTGTTAATCGGTTACTGCTTGATGAGGGACATGGCCATACAACTCGTTTTGATAAATCTCAAATTTTTCAAGCTTTTAAAGATTTGGTAAAAATTATAAAAAAAAATATACATATATTTATAATTGACATACAAAATAACTATAGTACAATACTAACTTTTTTTTATTTATTTAGAAAGTCTACATATTTATGTTTATGTATTTTTGTATACTTGTTAATATGTATTCTTTTGCTTTTTTTATTCCAACCATTGTAAATGGTTTGGGATTTAATGCTGGTAAAGGCATAACCTTTTCTTTCTTACAATAATAATATCCTGATTCGTTGAGGTTTAGTGAAAACTTCATTCCCGCTATGAATCAGGATATTATTCATTAATCACCGTGATCTTGGCATAGTGATCAGGGATTATCTGATTTATCATTCAATAATTTATTTTTTTCTACCTATTATTTAATTAGTTTTTTCCCAACTTCTTTCAACACCTCCATTTTTTTTGGGTTGTACTATATCGATCACGTTAGCGATATTAGCTGATCACCATAAAATTCGTAGTCCATATTTGATATCTTGTTTGTTAGTGGCAATCATAGGATACGCATTAATTATTTCAGAGAATTCTAGTATTGCTTGTAAGTTGTATTTACAAATTTTTTAATCTTCAAAAAATATTTCTATGTTATAATAATGGTTTATATATTTTAGTGAAATATTCTGGTGCTTGTATTGTTGGATTGGGTATATTTGCATGTGTACCTAATTTACTTGTATGGTAAGCCTAGGTTCTCTCATTTATTTAATTTTTTTAAAATTTTTTAACACAAATCTAATTTTTTATATTAAATGGATTTTTTTTTAAACAAAAAAAATAAATAAATAAAATCCAATAAAAGGACATTAAATAATCTGTCTGGTGACTTGAAACGTGCTGTAGGCACCGCGATGGCGATTTCCTGGGGTAATCTAGGTGGTATAGTAAGTGCGCAATTATACAGACCTAGTGATGCACCGACTTATAAATTTGGTCATTCCATTGCATTATCACTTTTGATTGCTTCGGTATTGTTATCTATAGTTCAATATTATTACTTGAATAGAATGAATAATTATAAACTTAATGATCCTGATAGGTTTTTAAAAGGAATTAATGAGGAGGAGGCTAAGCATTTGGGTGACTTACACCCTTCATTCATTTATAGCATGTAGTTACGAGATTTATTTATTAAAAATTATATGCATATAATTATTCGTATATAATAAACATTAAATGATAGTTATTAATAAATTAACGCGTCTAGTAATGGGACTAACGATGCTAAAAATAGATCAATAATTTATGAAAAATCAAAATTTCTTAATAGATCACGGCGTGTGACAACCAAAATTTCAACATTTTTAGTCCCAAGTAAATCAAAACTATATGTGGTCACCAATACTTAAGCTTACGACCCTTTTAGCAGAAAATTTTAACGCCAATTGACTTTTTTTTTCTATCCCATTAACAAAGTTACAGAGCCATTTTTTTTACATTACATATGAAAACTGGATTTTTTTCCAATTACTTTATTTGTATTTATCATTTACGTAAACTGCTGGTAGATTTTTTTTAATTAAATATAAATTTTGCTCTGTAACTTGAATTGTAGACTTTCTATCAATTTTGTTCAAATTTTAGGATTCTAATTTTTATTTGTAAAGGCTAAATCATTATCGCTAATAAAATATAATAAAATAATCGTTCGTTAATTACGTTGATCATAATAATGAAGAATATATTAAGTTACACGAAAAATTTTATACCAATTTTTATATAATATATATATACCATATATAGTTTTGATTTACTTAGTTGACAGATCACCCAAACTAACCGTGTCTAGCAGTTTAACCCGACTGGCTTTAATATAGTACTAAGGTGAATTTTATATGGTTTACCACATAAGCGTGAAATAGCGTTCGTGGGCGTTATTTTGAAAATCTGATACCTCCAAAATAGCATATGTGGTTTCAAATTAACGCCCATGAGCGTCCCGAACTAACACACATCCCCTATAAATAAATATATATAAAAAAAAAAATTAAAAAAAGGTAAAATAAACAAAAAGTGCTCCGAAACTAGGTTTAATACTAAATAGAAACCCACATTTGAGCAGAAGAGGTTTTTCGATTTTTCACAGCCGTCCTACCTTGTTTCAGTGCATTAGAGATACGTCGGGTGTAGCCCGGATTTGCATGAGGAGAGCATATTCTCCTGCTTTGCGAACACAAAGTAAAATTTCTATAATTGGAACTTTTTTATTATTCACAACGCAGAAGGATGCTCTCCTCATGCAAATCTGGGCACACTCGAAGCGCCCTTGACAAACATTAAACAAGGTAGGGCAGCTGTTAAAACTTGAAATAGACATCTGCTCATTTGAGCTTTAGCAAAAGTTTTTAAAGCTCAAAATAGGTTTATTTAGTACCAAACCTAGTTTCGGAACATTTACCGTATAAGCGCGAAATAACGCCCAAGCCGTTATTTTGAATGATGGCCCGAATTAAGCTTAATTTAGGCCAAAGTTCGAAATTGCACCCTGGGCTTTATTAACGAAAGTATCGGAACAGCATTTTGTCTCGAATCGATCACGGGTACATAGTAATTGATGTTGCTGCATTGTCATGATTTATTATATGATTCGTATGTGATTTTATAACGTAATGACGTAGTATTTGAGATTATTAATCGCTAGTAATATTTAAGGGGAACGAGATTTCCCAGAAAAGGTAGCTTCTGTTTTTTCTGCTAACCCGACTTTGCCTGGTTTTTTCGCTCCGCCCTACCCGACCCTCGTACACGATCTTACAGCGATTTGAGGGTTTTATTTGATGACCCGTCATGTCGACGTTTTATGGTTTTAGCTTTTGGGTAGTTTATGGCCTGTCGTACGACAGCCATAACTTTGATTTTGAAATAGGAGTGACCTGTCGGGACGACAGTCACAAAGGAGTTTTCTTGTTATGCGTGTATATAAAAGTGAACGACAGTCACGAAGAAATTTCTTAAGTTTGTACACATAGAAGTGACCTGTCGGTACGACAGTCACGAAAGAATTTTGTGTATCTGTTTACATAGCACTCGTTTTTTTGTCTTGATGTGCATAGTAGTCAAAAGGGGAATTTTGAGTCCCGCCCCTTACGATGTACAATAGCTTTGGAGGACCATCAGATTATAGGCCAGACATTTGTCTCTCATTGACGGGTGTTACAAGAGAAAAAACAAAGAACAAACAAAAAAGAAAGCAAAGAAAAACAAGT